TCCCCCTCAATTTTGCATCTGCATTCCGTGTGGCTGTTTGTTTTGCTTTTCAGCACTGGAGGCTATTTGTGTACCACAATCCGGTGAAGTTGATTATTCTTTGTGCCTATATTTTCTAACTCATTATATTTACCCAGTATTATTTATTTCACTCTGAGAGCTGTCAGGTTAATGCATTCTCTCATGCAGAGCTGCTAGTCTGCTGGTTTTATTGCCTGTTGTTAAGATATTACATACAAATGCAGTCAGGAGCTTTCTCCTAGTTATCAGCAAAGGAAAGGACAGAAATGCAAAGTTCCGAGCTTTCTTAAAGCTGAAGCACACACGTTCCCTTAAAGCTGGGTTTAGCGGCCACCTCTTCCCTTTCTTCCTTTCTGCCTCAGTGCAGGGGCCCACCTGGGATTTGCCCCCTGTCAGGCAGGTAGAGGGCTTGGACACTTCTGCACCTGTCTTCTCCCATCTAGACTGGCATCCCAGATCTTCCATCAGTTTTGCAAAATAGTGATTCATTTGCTTTCAGGGAATGCAATTGGTAATATAAATGGCAGGTGTGTGTGGTGGGGAGGGTTAAAATACCCCCCTTGGTCCTGTGCTTAGACCTAAACAGAAAAGGGAAGGGGGAACCCAATGTGCAATTTGAGTTGGAAAGACAGATATTTTCAAAAATTGTGAGGACACCTTGCCCTGTGTTGGTTGAAGTTTTAAAGTGTAAATATTTTTGGTTATTTTGGATTTTCAATTTGACACTGGTGAACTGAAATCATTTCATTTCATGCTCTACTTTTATAGAACCTGCTTTTAAAAAGGCTATTCAGCTCTGTGGCCTTGATGAATTTTCAGGCGGTAGAATAAATTTCCAATGCAGTTCCATCCATTGTTTGTACTAAGGATATTTTTCATCAAGCAGTACTCATACTTTCCTTTTGCTCTGTCTTTCATAGTGAACATTAAGTGTAGGCAAATCACAGAATACTACCAGGCCTGGCCTATACCATTGCTTTTAGTGGCATGACAGAGAGCGAGAGAGAGTGAGAGAACACATAATGCAGTCTCATCAATTTATAAAACTGAGTCTGAACTTAAGATTTGAAGTCTAAGGCTTGGTCACAGCTGTCATTTAGAACCTGAGATTTAGCACAATATTGGGTGTCCTTATTGCACCGAAACAGCCCACGTCTGTGCCTTGTTATGCTCGTTGCTAGAAATGAGGAGAATGTGTTTTGCATGATACTTTGAATGCATGAGGATGAGCTGAAAGTGAAGGAAAAATAATAAAGACAATATCAAAAGAACAAAAGAGAATGGGGGTGGGAGGTAAGCCTTTGAATTACGTGCAGAGTAGGAAGTGGAGTGCTGCCTTCTGTACGCCAGATCTCTCTCAACTTCTAGTCTTACGCTTCTAGTCTTACGCCACGCTGGTCTCATAGCACGGCTATAGTGGCAGGACAAGCACTGGTGCTCTCTTGTGCAGGATGGCCTGTCGTGCCATCTGAACCCTGCCGTGGTATTTCAGCACAGTACGCTCCCTTCCCAGAGACCATGATGAGAAGCAATGGTCTGTCCGGTGGTTTCCATGCTTCCACTTGGGTTCTCTGGTCATCTGAGCCCAGCATTGTGAGTTCCACGGTCCTGGTCCACAGCTCCCACAGGGTCCCCTGGGAAGGGGAGCAGAGCTGTCCCAGCTGGCCAGCGTGCGAGCGCATTGCAGGCCGGCAGTGGGAGGACTCAGCAAGGAGGGGGAAGCCACACTAGCACGGAAACCACTTCATCCATCAGGATCATCCGGGAAGGCCTGGAGTGAACAGGGTTGCTTGTTGTGACATGTGAACCCAGCCAGTGTCTTCCTGCAGCAATCTGCTTATGGAATCATTTATTAAATTGGTAGCCTGCCCTTTTCTTTTTTAAAGAATTCAAAGTGACTTACATCAGTTCCCTCCTGTTGCTCTCAGTAATCTAAGTTTCCTTAGAAAGTCTGTGACTGACCCAGAGTCACACACTTAGCTCCATGGCTGAACAGGGACTAGAACCCAGATCTTCTCAGTCCCAGTCACACATGCTTAATCACCACCCTGACTCAAAAGAGAGAAAAAAAAGAGGAAAAATCTTAAAACCAAGGTTCCTAGTTGTGCAACAGGGGCTGGGTGAGAGTTTGCAGACGTCCTCTCAGCTTTGCTGTCTTTAGAAGCTCAGGCCAAGCACAAGGGGAAGCCATGAGGGCTTGGAGGGATGGATTCCAGGTTTCCCCTCATCCCTAGTGGTATACAAACCATTTGTGTTAACCCCAGGGAAGCTCAACCACCCCTCGTTCCTGCCCTTTCCCATGCCTTCACCCTAAAGTGAAGGATATTCTAGTCTCACAAACCTTTTGAAAGGCCAATGAGTTAGTTTCATATTCATATCCTTGTTTCATTTTTCTCTTATTCTGATTATGCTGTTTTAATTATGCTGTGCATACTGTTCTTTAAAATGGCATGGCTTATTTTCATGTTTCTTTTATGATTGTTATACATTCTGAAAGCTAGGCTGAATTTACACATTTTTAAAAGAAAATGAAACATAAATGAATACACACATCACCAAGATGTAATATTGCTCTCTTTCTTCATGTGGCAACAGTATTTGTAAGTTACAAGCACAAGCTGGTGTTAATTCAAGCTTGGTTAATACAAGCTTCAAATCTAGTCTTTCCCTGAAAGAATCACAAAACACTTGTCACTAACATTAATTCATTATTCAGCACTGATAACTTGCAAGTTTTATATTAGTTTTTTACCATCTAATTTACATCAGCAAGTCATGACCTGATGCTGCAACCTGCCAAGGATGAACAAGTATGAACCAGCCCTAGAAGTAGAAGTGAGGACCCTTAACGCTCCAAAGGTAATCTGGACTTCTGTCCAGTTTTTGAAGCTTGGCTTAATCTGTTTTTACAGAGGATGAGAACAGAATACATTCTGAAATTTGGGTTGGATGCATCTTTTTTGCATTCTGGGTCATTTAGGGGAGACATGATAGAGCTGTACAAAATAATGCATGGCTAAAGAATGTTGAGGAAGATACTTTTCCCCTTACATCTGGTCTTTCCCATGAATCTGGTATTGTGGGAGATTCAGCATCGATAGAATAGCTGCCACAGGGTATAGTGAAGATGACACATGTAATGCTTTTAAAAGGAATTAGCCAAGTCCATGGAGGCAAAGGTTGTGAATGGCTCTTAGGCAAGATGATACGCTCCATCCAGTCCCAGAGGCAGCTTGCCTATAGATGCCAGTTGCTGGGTAACACAAGTGGCACGGTGCTATTGGACTCATGGGCTTCGCCAAAAGCAACTGTGTGTGTGTGAACAGGATGCTGGTTGGTCGGATCCACCGTGGCTCTTCTTAGGACTTCCACATTCAGTGCAGAGAAATTCACCAGGCCTGGAATGCCTCTCCAGTCAGTTCCCTGCTGCAGGTTAATAATGCCCTGCTTTGTAAGTGACATTAAACAAGAATCCTGTTTTGGCATTCATGGAAGCTGGTGTGAAATAAGCCAGAATCTCTGGGCTGAAGCTGGAGGGTGAGGGAGAAATGTGTGAGCTTGTAAGCTCCTAACATGGCATTTGAATTGGGCTTCTGCCTACATCTATAATCTGTTCCTCTTCCACTGTAGATCAAAGTCATTTTGCAAAGAATAGTGGCCAGAAATTATTCAAGCTTAAGGTGCTTTTCTATACACTAACAGGTTCCTTTGGTTCTCAAGAAACTAGAATCCAGATTGCCATTCGATTTCCTATCATGCCAACTTGTCAACGGACATTGGACTCTCACCTCAGTTTCCTTCCAGCTCTTGGACTGGCATCACAGTGTTCATGTAGTGGCTATGTAATCACATTTCGTTCATAATTGGCTCTTTTAATGGACTAAATGCTGGGCTTGGTTGCAACTGGCAGTACATGAAAGGTGTTGTTCCTAAATAGCATTGCCCAGTGATCCCGGTTCTGCCCATAACAAGGCAGAAAAGCCAGATGGATTTTGTTTCTTCCACTGTTGGCTTGAGATTGTGTGTTTGGATTCTATGTTTTACAGTGATTAGACCCCCTTCCCCCAAAAAAGGGCAATGGAAGGGTCTCAATGTTTTAAGGAAAGGCATCCATGAGAAAGTCAAGTTTGGTTTATGTCCTCTTCAGGTGCCTAATATATTAGTAAAGAACATGATGAAGTGGGTTATTTGATAGAAATGCTCATGCAAATAAATTATTTCTATATTCTTTGCATTAACTTTCATATGAAGAATACTTTCACTTTCACTCCAAACCAATGTGAGAACCATTCTTTATGCCACAAACCAATTAACATGAGATGGCCAATAATTAAAGCACTTGAATTACATGTTGCCTGTAGAGTGATGTCCTGATTTTTTTGGGGGGGGGGTCGCGGCAGCGACTAAAAGGGTTAATTTCTTGGTTTGTTTCTTTACGTTTCACTTCAAAAGGGAAAATGCTTAGATAGCCTAGTTTTGGTCTGGTGTTTAGGACCTTGCAGACTGGAACCTACACCTTGAACACTGCTTGCAAGAACGGCAGTACCCAGTGCAGTTGTTTCAACACTGGCAAGGTATGTATACTCCAGTTGACCAGTGGTAGGTCCAGAATGGTCAACAAGCTCTCATTGAGGGCTTTGCCAACCAGAAACTTAGATTCACTGCCAGGAAACCCAATAGTTTTCCGAAATGCAGTTTGAAAGCCAATTGCCTGCATCAAAGGACTCAAACTTAACTCATCTGCAGATGAACTGGGAGAAATGGTGGTGCTTTCTTTGGCCACATGAAGAGAATGTAGCTTTCTAAATCTAATTTTGCATTTTGCAGTTTTGAAGTGTCTGTGACTCTGCCATAACATAATGGAACACGGTAATTTTTCAGCATTATAAATATTTTATTAGAATAAAAAATTACGTACAGATAACCATAGGATATACACACACAGCTAGAAGTTGAAGGAAAATTTGATCAACTTTTCAATATGAAACAAAGTAGTCTGTACACATCTCATGGAGATAGAGTTTAAATTCAATAAAGATGGTCATGAAAATGGCAGTACAGGAAAAGGCTGTAGAATTTTCTTGTAAAAAGAATGGTAGCTCCAACACTCATTGCATGAGTATGACATACACAAAGGAGTTTTTCCCACCTTTCAGTAACTGTTTGGAAGCATCAGTAGTTTGCCATGTTGAAAAGCAAGTAGGTATTTATATCATTTTACTATGTACACTATATACAGGCTTTCCCAAGACACTTGGAAAAGTGATGCGTCTCAGGGTTATACTAGTATCATCATTTTAGATCTGAATGCATAATAAAATAGAGAGCAATGTTTGAATGTTCTTGAACGGGTCCTGCTCTAGGGCTGACAACTGTTTTGAGCAGATGTGTGAGAAAGTGAGTGAGTACAAGTAATATTTTGAGATGCAAATTATCCTTCTAAATACTGAAAATTTGTAAATCAAATACACCAAGGACAGATTTATATATCCATTGTTATGCAAAATTTGCTGAAAACAGTCCTGTTAATGACATCTAGAAAATGTTTGCTTACAAATAAGAAAATGGCAGTTAACCTATTATCATCCAGAAAAATTCTCTAGTGCGATGGGGAAACTGCAGCAGGACCAATGTATAGACAGGGTCTAATGAACAAGACACAAAATATCAAAGGACAACATATTTTTAGCTGCATATTCAGATACGCCGCATACAATTTTAGGGAGATAATATTCCCTGGCTATAAGGCTCTGGTGCATTGCACCTGAAAGTGAGATGTTCTATTCTGGGCACTTAATCTGTGTGGGTTTTCTTTTATTTTATTGGAAAAAAGCCATGATAAATGTCAAAATCGAACCAGTGGAGTAGTTGTACATTGCAAAGAAAGCTTGGCTAAAATTGAACTGAGCAATGTATCTCATAGGTGCTTAATATATTAGGAAAAGTCTGAATGAGTGAGCAAGGGCCCCCTTGACAGGTGCTGGGCTGGCTTCATGGGTCAATGGGCTTGAGAGTCCATGACCTCGTTCCACAGGAAACAAGGCAATGTAGGGCGCGTGAGCATCCTGAACACCTTGTGGGGCTGCTCCGAGTAGCCTGGCCTTGCAGGCACAGGGGGCACCATGCCCGGCTGCAGCACAGCGGGGTGGGATGGCCAGGAGCCGAGCCGAGAGCACGACTGTCACTGCTCCAGTGCGGAAACAAACCCTGAGCCTCTGGACACTTAAGACTGCAATGCTAGGACACTATCTGCCCTTTCCCCCTAATAAGGAGTTAAAGAGTTCCTTTCCATCTGTAAGAGTTTCCCCTTTCTACAACTGAACCGGGATTCAGAAACAGAAGTGAGAATAATACATCAGTGAGACTGAATTTCTATTAAAAAGGGAAATAAATGAGCACAAGCAACCAAGCATTAACATAGGCTGAGCTAAGATGGGTTCTATATTGAACTAGGCATTTTGATGTTATGACTTGATTATTGGCAATACCGCTTTACTACTTTATATAGTAAAATCTCTAAGTGATTTCCTCTAATTAAGGACAGATAAAGTAATTAAATGAAAGACCAACATGAAAGTTTATCCAGATATAGTTCAACATGATGAGAATTTTAGAAAAGTATTCAAGGTTTTCCATCAGATACTGGTGAAAAATGGATTTGTTTTTATCTTCCATCTGTGTGTGTATTAGGAGGATGATTTTGTGGCAAGCTACATTAAAATAATTCTGTGTTTTTGGAAAATGAACTCTCAAAGCTTTTTGTAATACTCATCCTCTTATTTTTGTCATTTCTGAAGCATGTAATGTGAAAGCTCCTTTGGTTCATTACATTTTAAGGCATTTTATATTCCTTTCGAAGGAACTGTTTAATACGTATATGATCTGGTTTTTTAAATGAAATATCAGAAGTCATAGAAAGTGTTTAAATTCAGACTAGTAGTAGATCCATGCATAACCACCATCTGTTGTTGTTGCCGTTGTTTTCAAAAGCACTTTAAACTAAATTATTCACTTAGCCTTGGCTTATTTGTGAAAAAGCATCACCACAATCCTGCTTTGAAAATCAGGAAAAGTGTTACTGGCATAAAGCTGGACAGACTGTCTAAGACGGCTGCACCGGAACCTCTTGCATCCATACCTGCAATAAGTAGGAAAATGGGAGATTAGCTGGGGGAAAATGTGTATGTATTTCAGTCCTGCAAAGCTCCTTTCCAACCCTCCCATATTCCTTGGGCACCCACTGCAGCTTCCCCTCTGGCTCCGCAGCATTATGCATGTTGACCCACACATTTCCTTAAGGCACAAACCTATGTAAGTTCATAGCGAAGAAAGGCCTACCGCCTTGGGCATGTCCCAGTCTGCCCTGCTTGAACAGTGGTATTTCCTGAAGCATCTCCTGTGCTTACTCCAGCGTGTGTACAAGTTGCTCCCAGTGGCATAATTATCTGTCGCAAAATATCACTAAGTCCTTTGGGAAGCGCCTAAGCTTCCTGTTTGCAAATACTCTGGTGGGAACAGGCACATGGACAGAATCCATTACGTGTTGCTAGGCCACAGTGTGTGTGCGATGCAAGCTGTGTGTCATTGCGATGGGCTTCATCTCCATCTACCTGCTTCCACTGCTTGTACAGACAGCATCCTGTGACTCATTCGGTTTTCTAAAACCACATTATGAATGACTCAGTATTGTTTTTGTTGTTAATGATGTTATGATGTCCAGCTAGTGCATATGCATATTACTCTGGATCCAAAACAACTGCGAAACTGCATACCCTATATTTCAAAACAGTTAAAACAAATTTAGTATAGCCATTCAGCTAACTTCAGTTCTGAGAAAGGAAAAAAATAAAATAAAGCTGATTCTCCTACATATGCTGCTGTCTAATTTACATGGTAATTTACGAGTTCAGTTGAACGCAATTTGTCATGCACAGGGACATGAAGAATGTTAATTGGTTTCCTTTTTATAACATTGCTATTGTGCATACGTGCATAATTCCCCTCTCCCCCATCTCAGGACTCAGTTTCTAAATCAGCACCACCCAATAATTTCTTACAGACAACCCGGATCCCAAATTAAACCAACTGGACCTATCTAACTGCCTGGCTCATCAAGACCAGTTCATCTCTCTTTCTGGAGTAATCCCAGGAATAGATGGATATTTTGGAGTTACATGCTGGCCAGATCCTTATTAATTTGCCTGTTATTTTTAAAGACCATTGTTTCTCGTGATATGGAAGGCCACTGAGGCTTGCTTGTATCTGGATGGTGGGATATAGAGAGGTTTATAAAGCAGTGCAACTCTACATTTTGACAGCAGAAAGAGCCAGGGTTCAATGGGACTTACTCCCAAGTAAGCACAGATAGCACTGCAGCCTCACAGCAAGATCCCATGCATACCTAATCAGAGGTAAGGGCAAAATCCTATAGTCTCTTAATATTGTCTGGGAGATGATAGGATTTCTTCAAGTCTGATCTCAGCGCTGGGGCTCTGAAGGCTGAGCTTCTATCCCAGCCCACCTTGCTGATGTGCAAAGACGCTCCTAGAATGCAAGTCTCAGAGGGGGAGAGGCTGGGGCTGCAGAGCTGTGCTCATTCCAGCGGATGTTCCAGCCTCCTGCCCTCCCCTATACTTGCCCTGGCCCAAAATCTCAGCAGTGGAAAATGGCAAGGAATGAGGTGGGCGGGAGATTACTGCCGTGCTGTGCTTTGCACTGGCGCTTGCAGCCTCTGAGCCTGGTGGCTTAAGGGCATCGGCCACGGGGTGACTGGATTGCACCCACACTGTGTGCAGCTTGCATCTTTAGCTGTGCAGACCACCTGTGATTTTTCTATGAGGTTCAGATCTTCAAGATACTGGTAAATATCATCAGCTCGCCTGGACTTACTCTTCTTAAGCATCTGGTTGTCCTAGATTCTGTCCCTGGATTCCCTTCCAGATATTAATTTGCTTACTTTACACCATTACTCTCCTTTTGCTGTGAGCCGCCCCGAGGTTTTGTTGCGATGGGGGCGGCATAGAAATGTTTTAAATAAAAAAAATAAAAAGAGTGGCTCTGAGAAGTAAATGTTTTTTGCTGATCAAATTCACAAATGATGCTAAAATGGGGGTGATGGTCACAAACTGATGAGCAGGTACTCAGGATCCAGAAGGATCTGGACAGACTATGGAGGTGGTCAGGGAACAACAGGCTGGTATTCAAAGCAGATGAGTGCAAGGTCTTGCACTTGGGGCATAGGAATGGGTGTCATAAGTACATGTTAGGGGACAAGTGGCTGGAGAGCAGCACTTGTGAAAGGGACCTCGGGGTGCTGGTTGACTGCAGGCTCAACATGAGTCTGCAGTGTGATGTGGTGGTCAAGAGGGCGAACACCACCCTTGGTTGCATAGTAAGAAAATAGTAGTATAGTTCAATAGAGGTATTACTAGATCAAGAGAGGTATTACTGCCACTCTATATGACTCTGGTGCACCCGAAACTGGAGTATTGTGCTCAGTTCTCCACATTACAGGAAGGACATAGCTAGGTGGGAATTGGTGCAGCGTAGGGCCACAAGGATGGTGACTGGATTGCAGGGAAAGCCATATGAGGCGAGACTGAGGGAACTGGGCCTTTTCTGCCTGAAGGAGACCCTGAGGGATCTGTTGGCAACATATAGGTACATGAGGGGGGTGCCACGAGGAGGTGTGTAGAGACCTATTTTCACCTGCAGAAATGCATTCCAATGGAGCAAAGCTCAGGGAACGAAGGTTCAATTTGGAGGCCAGGATGTACTTCCTGATGATTAGGACCCTGAGGGTATGGAATGAGGTTCCAAGGGAGGTGATTGAAGCCCCATCGGTGAGGGTGTTCAAGAATAGACAGGCCATGCACATGGTAGGCATGTCGTAAGAGAGGAGCGAGCTGGAGCTAGGTGGTCAGACTAGATGGCTCGGGAGACCCCTTCTGACTTGCTCTGTTTCTATGTTTCCAGTTCTGAGTTGTCTGATGAAGCTGTTTTTTGTGAAATGAGACAATACTGGATGGACTGAGAAGTTTACACCAAAGCAGATTGACTGTGGTAATGGTAGAGTCACATTTTCTTGACTATCGCTCCATCTGCAAAGTATAGTTAAGTGATGCTGTTACTCTGTTGAATATCTTGGTGAATGTCAATCTTTCACCTACAGATAAGAGCAACCATCTGCTATGGCATGGAAGCAAAATGGTTGACACTGGATTCAACATCCATGACTCGTCCCATTTGAATGCATAGCTTGCCAGTTCTGTGTACGACTCTTTTCTTGAAAGATAAAAAATGACTCGTGCAAAAACTTAGTCTGTATATTTGTTGCCAGTGGGTTTAGCTGAACAGTGAAACTCATATTTCTGAGATTCTATTAAATAATAACACCTCAGAATCTGAAAACAATAGTATAGTTCATTTTGTTGTTGTTAGTCACGAAGTCGTGTCCGACCCATCGCGACCCCTTGGACAACATTCCTCCAGGCCTTCCTGTCTTCCACTATCCCCTGGAGTCCACCCAAGCTCACATCAACTGCTTCAGTGACTCCATCTAGCCACCTCATTCTCTGCCGTCCCCTTCTTCTTTTGCCATCTATTGTTCCCAGCATTAGGCTCTTCTCCAGGGAGTCCTTCCTTCTCATTAGGTGGCCAAAGTATTTGAGTTTCATCTTCAGGATCTGGCCTTCTAAAGACCAGTCAGGGTTGATCTCCTCTAGGACTACCAGTTTGATCACCTTGCGGTCCAAAGAACTTGCAGGAGTCTTCTCCAGCACCACAATTCAAAGGCCTCAATCCTTTGGCGCTCAGCCTTCCTTATGGTCCAGCTTTCACAGCCATACATTTCAACTGGGAAAACCATAGCCCTGACTATACACACTTTTGTTGGCAGGGTGATATCTCTGCTTTTTAGTATGCTGTCTAGATTTGCCATAGCTTTCCTCCCCAGGAGCAAGAGTCTTTTAATTTCTTGGCTGCAGTCCCCATCTGTGGTGATCTTGGAGCCCAGGAAAATAAAATCTGTCACTACCTCCATTTCTTCCCCATCTATTTGTCAGGAAGTGAGAGGACCGTATGCCATGATCTTAGTTTTCTTAATGTTGAGTTTCAAGCCAACTTTTGTACTCTCTTCCTTCACCCACATCAAGAGGCTCTTTAGTTCCTCTTCACTTTCTGCCATTAGTATAGTTACTAATTCATTACTCTGAAGCAATTTCATAATAAAGGGTCAGGCTAGTTTTTTCTATTAAATTACAACTCTGATTGTAAAAAACCAAAATCACAGTTGTTTAGTTTTCAATTTATTTCTTTTTATGGTCTGAATAAAATTTGTTTTTTAATCTGGATTTTATTCTTAGGTGGCCTAACTGCTGTATATTGACAGGAAGGTGAGAGATAAATATTGATGATAAGGGATGGGCAAACCTGTCTTTTCGCTTTCTATGCTTGACTATTTTTTCATGCACAAGTTTATTCCATCCTGCATTGCAAGACTTTGTTTTTTTTTGAAAAAAGTCAGCATAGCAATGCATATAGATGTTTGTACACAATTTATTGTGATACATCCAGTTTTTCTAGCATGTCCCCTTAATACTGTCTTTTGTATGCAATGTCTCTAAATGCATGCTTTTCTGTACACATCTTTTGGGAAACTGCATCAGGAAATTCAGAGAAGTGTGAAAAGGATAATTGTTCTGGTTAAGCTATTTGTTTGGGAATTATAATACATACCAAACAAATTCCCTTCCCACATATTCTTATTTATGATAGAATTAGAGAAGTTGATGGAACTCCATATCCAGTAAACATACTTGCTAGTTTAGGAATTTTAATTTGCTCGCTGCTAATACCATCTCCACCATCAGTTGATGCTTTCACTTCTATAATATAGTCATCATTTAATGGAAGCAGAAGTTCTGCAGATGTTCTGTTTGTAATCAGGACACTGAGCTGCTTCTGATTACTAGTCCGATATAAAACCTGTAAAATAAAAAGAAATACTGTGACTTTATCTCATCCTGTACAATGTAATCTTATTTTTAGTTAGGAAAAAAGGACGGTTTCTTAACAAAAACATGTATGGGAGTTGGAGGGGCCCAAATTGCAGAACTGTTGCCTCAACATCTTACAAGACACTGAAAATCCATAACATTAATCAAGCACTTTTATCACAGTTTTAATCTAGAATGGCAGAATATATTGCAACAACAAATGTATACGATATTATATTGAGTTCTCAGTAATGGGGTCTCCTTTAAAGTATTGTTTTATTTGGAGTTTATCATTACTTGGATCAGGCTCTTAAAGCAATAAATAAGGACAAGATACCTGAGAGGTTCAATAAAATAAAAAAGTGAAGAATTCTGGACTATGGTAAGAGATAGCCAGCATATAGGACGTAATTAGTATGCCATGGAATTTAACTGCTTTTCTTTGCTGCATTCTATATCTTTACACAATCCGCAACAACACGTAGTTTCACTGCAATAAATCTCATTGCAGGAAATGATTCTGGCAATTGTCCAAGGGATTCACAGCATCACTCATAAGCTGGGCTGGCATAGGAGGCTTTGCTGTTTTGGTGGTGCCCTCTCCCCTCCCCAGTACATGTACACCGACTGATTGTGTTGGCTGTTGAATTTCACTCCACTACTGGTGATCAAATAGCACCACATCTGGGTTTGAAGGCTAGCGTAGAGCTCGTGCCATACACACTTCGGGTATTTATGCAAAATTGGCTGTTTCTTGCACGCTTCACAGCTAAATCACTGCTGCCCGGCTTGTCCTCACCTTATAGCCAATTACTTCTGACTCATTTTCCATGGCATGCACCTGCTCCCAATTCAGCAGTACTCTGGAGTCCGTAACGTTCCACACGACGTTTCCTGGAGGTTGGCTGGGTGCTTGAAATATATAACGAAAACATGATTTTAATTTTCTTGACATTTGAAATTTATTCTGCTGCAGCAAATAATGGTCCAGGTAATTGATGGTTATCACATGATGGATACAGCACCACTCTGCATCATTTGCGCATCACGTTCAGTTTGGAAAATACAGAGAAACGTGGCAATGCTGTTGCAATTCTAGATGCATTTGCTACTGTGTAAACCCCACAGAACACAATGGGACCAATCTTTGAGCAATATGATGACAGTGCTAGAGCCTTTAAGGAGTATGATCAGAGAATAATGCCAGTATAACATACTGCAATGGCTGTTTACAATTATATAATTAGAAGACCGCTTGCTAATTTCACACAGAAACACACACAGAGAGACACATCTAGAATTATATCTTTTTTCCAGACTTTTTTCCATTGTCATTTCTCCTGATTGGTTAGGAAATAGTACAAATTATATCCAATAAGACAGACCATTCTAAAGATTCTGTAAAATCATGGAAGAACATCTAAGAAGAAGTTGTAAGGAAATGTTATCCAGTGTGTGACCACTTTAAAATAAGAAAATGAAAAGAAAAAACAAAGGAAAAGGACTTGGTATTAACTGTGCTGTTAACTTAATTGCTTAAAACATGTTGAAGCTTTAAGTTTTTCGAATTACTGGAAGTTAGGAAACTTACACACACACAAGCCTTAATCTCATCACCTGCTGCTTTTGAGATTTCACCCTGTATGTAGAGCGGTGCTGGACTGCCCCAGATTCACCTTCCTGGAAATGCTGACTGTGCATGAACACTTCCCTCTCTTAATCCCGAGGGGTGTTACTGTTTTCCAGTGTCTGTTCCTTTGTGTGGAAACACTATTTCTTTGTTAGGCTTCTTTGCCGCACTCCATTATTCATAGGATCCATTACAATGGGGGACAAGAAGTTAGCATAATCCTAACGCCACAAAGCCCATCATATTTGGCTATGTGCTTATGTTACTTGGATAAACAAAGTCTTTTAACAGAGAATAAATAAATAAATACAAAATAATGAAAATATTTTTAAGAAATCCAAGGGCAGTGCTGAAACTGTTCACAAAACCCAGTATTCTGGGTTCAGTCCTATCTGGATGTTCAGGCACAGTGCTTCTGTAGGAAATAGCTATCTCCTATAACTGCAGGATAATTATATTAGTATCTGCTCAAATGATAAATGGCTATGCCTTGCTGTTCTAGGCACTGATTTCAAAGCATGCTAATGATCTATGCTGTGATTTGTTATACAAGACGCTCTCTTGGGTAAATGGTTGATCCTGCTGTGAAGATTCGTGCACACAAATTTGGAACCACTATCCCAAAAATACTCATGCTAACGATACTCAAATATAAGTATAAGATTAGATAAAATTAACATAGCAAACAACTTTCCTAGTATTATAGGACAAAAGCAGGAAGAGAGATAAGTGCCATTTTCTATTGTGGTAGGAACCTAATCATTATGGGTACAATCCAAAGTTAAGCGCTCTTAATCCTTAGATTAATTTCACTGGAAAAGTTTTAGGCATGTGCTTAACTTTCTCAGAAAGAGTGCCAAAGGCTTCCCTGGGGGTTTACTCAATGCTGCCAGCACAGGGACACACACAAACCCTGTCTATTTCTCCTCTTTCCTCAGGGAGAAGACAAACTGCAGAATGAGGAAGATCATCCTCTTGGGGTTGAGGAACTTCTGCACAGCAAAGGAGAATCAGAAGAGGTAGCAACAGTTTATATCCCCTTTAAGCACAGCTTAATGCCATGTAGTCCAACACAGGCTAAAGTCTCTGGACCATTCACCTGCTGCCAAAACAGAATTTAAGGTGATGGCTATCATGTCATTTATTTAAAAAACTTATGGATCACCTTTCAGTATTGCTGATCTCAGGGAAGCCAATTAAGTAAGAAATAAAGAACAATCTGTCCCCCAAACACAGGTCAATCAAAAAAATAATATGAAAACATTTTAAGGAAATGATAGGCCATAATCCTAACTGCACTACTATGTGTGTTTTTCAACTTTTTTTCAGAACAGCAGCTCAATATTAAACATGAAAGGACAACTATTTTCTGCAGCTCCCACCACAGGGATGAGGGAAAAAAATATCAAGCCCAGCGATGTAGCACTGCCCTTGACTTACTTTAACCTTTCTGCGCTAAATATGTAGTTTTCAGGATTACATTAGGATTATAATTAAAAAGACAAAGGTCATTGAAAATGATTTGCTTTTTCAATTACCACAGAATCACAACATTATAACTTAAATAGCTGCAGGGGTCATTACAATAACTGACTTCTTGCTTAATTTCTAGGATCCTCTTCACCAGTTTTCAAATCTATATTGAAATTTACATTATCATCTTTCCACATCACATCGGAAAGTTGCAATTAAGAGATAGCCTCAATTATTACAGGCCCACTGTGAGATAATAAACCATGATGAGAAGTATGAAACTCATGCTGAATTTGAGAGCATTAGAAAAGAATCTTGATTGGTTGGCTTTCCCCGCAAAGAGTTCTAATTAGGCTAAGCTCCTGACAATGTGACGTAAACTGACATTTACCAGTATATTTTGAAAATACATTCTGATGAATTGATACTACATGTTCTACCTGTCCTGGCTAAAGAAAGAAAGGTTCTAAACATTTTCCTGCATGGGTTGTTCATATTTGAAGTATTAACAATTCCGCTAAAACCTTTGCAATCATATCGCCACTATCCAACAAGGCTGTGAGAGGTGTCAGTATGTGGGGCAGTGATGTGGTGAAATAACATCACCACTGACTTCCAGGATGTGGCGGCTTCTCAGCACGAAAGGAAGCATTTCAGGTGCCCCAAACACAGATTCTGTTGTCTAAAGTGCCCAACTGAAACTTATTATCCAGGTAAATGATCTGAACTGCTTTACATATATAAAAATTTTCTGATCTGGATGTAGTCTCTTGTGTTGATTTTGAAAAAGAAGTGACAAATGAAGGGCAGTCCTTCCAAATATGCTGAGAGGCACTGTATTTGTATTTAAATTACAGCAACTTCAAAATCTGTATATTTGATCAATTAGCATCAGCAAATCTTCTTCCCTGAGGCACGGCCTCCTTTTGGTGAAGGGAGCTGATAGCAGAACCTGTTGGGAAGATGGCCAAATTCCAGCAACTACCACTATTCCAGTCCTGACATGCTGGGCAGTGTGTCAGAATGACTCCGCTGCTGCTACAATTACCACATGCAGCTCTTGCTTGCAGTGAAGGAAGGGGCTGGAGAAGAAGGGGCTGGTGCTTTGGGATGGCGGGGGTCTTCATTTCTGGAGCTCCTCAGGAAATAAACCAATCTGACGTCTTTCTGTCTGTCTTGGCAATAACTAACTGGCTCATTTGCCCATCTCTAGTTCAATCAGGCCAAAACGCAAATTCTTCAGAGGGAGGAGGGTGCATTTCCAGAAGCACTTCAACAGGTTGGACAATAGGTGAAGATCCACTGATATAACATTTGCCTTAATGTTGCTACTATATAAATGGAGAATACAGAAGTATTAGCATCAATGGTCATCATTACAGTGCGTTAACCGGCCCAAGTCTGGCAGAACAGAGCAGGATTCAAGCAGAGAAATCTCTGGCACACCCTTACTCATGTACCTACATGGACGTGTATGTGAACCCATATGCAGTCCTACACATCTATGTGAGCAATGAAATTTGTACAAAGCAAAATGAGATGAGCCTCAGAATCCGAGACAGCCTCCAAGGTCACAGGGCTGAAATAACGCTGCAGAATCCCAGAGAAGGAGTTCTGGGACCTTTCTCAGGCACCACCACCTGACTATTCTCAGCATAGCAGGGATGCCATTTCTGAAGCACTGGGATGGTTTGGGTTTCAGTAGGTTGACTCCCGGTTGCTTTCCAATATCTTGCAAAATCCCCAAAACAATGTGTTCCATTATATATACCACTGTGTTGTTAGTGCATCCTCAGAAGACACAAATAACAAATAAAGGTTGCTTATTGACAGTGCTTCAGTACGAGATCATGCACACACTTCTGATGTGTCATAGAACTTACAGTAGCAGATTTTGAACTGGCTTGTTAAAAAGTTCATCTTTTTCCTAGTAAGTAAAGGACCCCCTTCTGCCATTTCCTTACCCCGACTTACGTGTTTTTTTGGTGGTGGCATTGACTGTGGCACTGAAAGGACCTGCTCCTGCGCTGTTGTAAGCCCGAACTGCTGTGTAGTACACAAGGTTGCTCCTCAAACCTGTTATTCTTACTGATGTCTCATTTCCAATGGCTTTTACTTTGTTTGAAGACTGCTCTTTTCCACCATTATTCCAGTATCTTACCTAGTGGGTGCAAAGTGTAGACTACTTAGAAAATATTATCACTGCTTACTGAGATCTATATATCTCAGTAAACTATATATTAATTCCAAAAGTGGGCATGCATTTTATTTTCAGAGTGCCACAGAAAGTGCACGGAGGGGACAAAATTCTCCCTTTTATTTAAAATTCAAAGAAACAGCTTAATTTTGTTCGGCAGAAGTTGCAGTTATGCAGCAGCTCTCTGCCATTACACAGGCATAATGAATGTTCTGCTGCGCATTTGTCGTGCTAACACCAGTATCAAATTTTGCACCTGACTTATTTCTGCAGATAGGTTAAGCATCTGTTTACATAAAGGCATCATGCACATTCCCTGCCTTGCCCAAAGCAGAAAGGGACACAATCTAACAGCGTTTGTATTAATGGAGGTTGAGCTCCTGTGCTTAATCTTTGCTAGAGCAGTGGCAGGAGATGTAGCAGACAGCAACCAGGCATGCATGGACAGGGACCGCAGGAGCTCCCTGCAGGCTGATTTCCACTCTGAGTGCAGTTTTGGGAGCTTGCAGTAATTGATCTGGTGCACCGCCAGATCAATAGCTCGAATTCTGCACAGAAATCTGTGAATATTTGTATCTGGCTTTTATACTCCCCCCAAGACCAGATTATTTGTGACGGTAACACATGTTCATCTAGTTTCAGAAGCAAAAGAGCCCTTCCTGCCTTTCTGGCTTTGCACATCAGGCCACTCAAGGAATGTTCCCACCAAAATACAGGAATGTGAGGCAGACAAAAAATTTATCACCAGATGTTTGCACGACTCATTTTCCTATACAGTAGTAAAAAGAGAACAGCTGACTTTTAACAGCAAGCTTTGGCTTCCAACCTGTGAATGAAAAATGATTTGAAAGCAAAGGCACGCCTTCACAGACGTGTTAACTTAGAGGATAAAGTATGTTATAAGCAGGATTTTCTTTTTACCTCATAGCCCAGCAATCTCCCACTACCCATTTTCCAAGGAATGGAAATCCAGGAGACTTCAATTACAGAGGAAGAAAGGCTGCTTGCAGATACACCAGTAGGTGCCATGGTAGGCTCTGTGTTGGAAAGCAAAAACAAAACAGTAGTGCTGGGAAAAAAAGAAAGGACAAGAAATCCCACCCGACTTAGTTGCCAGCTAATTAAAATGGCTTCACTGATACTAGCTGAGCAAATATTTGCTCTACTCATTTGCATGGAAAATGACTTAATGAAAGCGATGTAAGAGATTATTCAATAACCCACCCTCTTCGGCAGAATACACTGTGGCCACTGGACTAAATGGTCCTTCTCCTTTATTATTATATACGCCAACCTTGACTTCATACGGTGAAAACGGCAAGATGCTTTCATTTCTAAAGACGTATCTCGGTGTGTCAGGTGATGTAACAACTGTCTGTATCCAGGTTGTAATGCCAAGTGGTCGGAAAGCAACGACATAACCAAATCCTTCACCATTTTGTAATTCTTCAGGGACAGGCTGAGCAAAAATTGGTAAATGAATAAAACACTAAATAAAAATTAACCTGTATAAACATAAAATTTCAGTATGAGAATTCTCCAGTCAAGAACCTGTCCAATCATCTTTACAAGGAACAGCTTGTTGACTGGGGATGGCTTTAATTAGCCGGAGGAACAGTGGAGTCCAGCAGCAAATGGAATCTGAGAACACATTAAGACTGCATGCATAAGCACACTCTCTGGGAACGTGTCTCCTGGAACTTTCTCAGTGGGTCTTACTCTTGAATGAATACTTCCTGATGAACGATAACCCTTGTATTCGCCAGGTACTTTTGGAAACCTATGGCATGCCTGAAGATAATGGCCCTATCCTTAGTACGCACCCTGACAACTGGTACTGAGTGGTATACAGTCTCCGAAAATGAGGTTTCATGAAGCCCTCATGGCTAATAACCCGTTGTCCCTCTTGGCCTTCAGATCTGTCCAAATGTGTTTATACCACTCCTTTGATGGAACAGCACTGTATCTGTGACATGTTCTGGCTTTCCTCCAAAGGCTGGAACACGGCCTAGCTGGCCGGTCTTGGGCAGCTCCCAGAGTGCAGCATATGCCTGAGTATTTAGTTAGCGTTGTCAACAATTTACTAAGCACCAATTATTAGCTGAGTGCTATTAAGCACATATAAAAACAACAACAGCCACAACAAACCCCTCTGTCCCCCTCCTTATCCAGAGTGAACTTGGACCTGGTGTAGCCTATGCGCAAATTTAATGTTGCATTTAAACAAATATATATGTGCATTGCAAGGGAGGAGTGCTATAATGGCAAAGAGCAAAGGGGGGGACGGATCGCATACACTGGGTACAGTCTTGTTTGAGAGGATTTGGATGACAGAAGGGAAGGACAGTGATGGCTGGCAGGAGAACGATTATTACATTCACAGAGAGGAGAATGGGAAAATCCACTCGGAAAAATAAACAATGAGGATGTGGACAAAGGGAGTGCAAATTTAATAGACAACACAGGAGCAAACAAAAGATGGAACATCACTAGAGTAGGATCACAATTCTGTCTGCAAGGGACTGGTTCATGCATTCGCCTTATAGACCACAGTTCAAAGTTCCACTTTAGCAGTCGCGCAGCCTTAACGAGGTGCCATGGACTTGGAATCCTCTGCTTGCCTGCTGTGGAAGCTGTGCAGGGAGGGCCAGGAGTCAGAAGGCAAGCCAGGATTCCAGGATTTGGGGCTGATATACCAGCATGTGGATGAGTTCTCCTTCTGAAAGCCATCATACATCAGAAGACATGGCATGGTAGTCGCAGGATGTCTCATCCTTTCAGCAGGAAATCCTACCATTCAGAATCTCCCCTTGCTTAGGGGGTCTCCTGATCAAGCGTACAGATAACTTGAGTTACGCTAAGCATGCCTGGGGAGAGGTGCATGTGTGGATGATGTTAGAGTAAACTTGCATCAAAACACAAGGTAATGCTATGGAATACATCTCATGTTATTGACTGAAGGTATAAATTTGGGAGCAGCAGTATGATTCTGTGACTTTCAGTATCTAAGCAGCTGTATTAATTTTTGTGCTAAACTGAAACACTAAGAAAACTTACCTGAGTTAAATAACTTTCCAACATGCTTAACTGAACATTGTTCTGATGATATTCTAACTCAAAAAAAGAATCAAAGCAGAGAGAGGCAGAGAAAAGCACATATTTGAGGTCATAGAAGCTATTGCTTATAATTACCACCAATGAAAATTTGTTAGCTGGTGGGTTTATTTTTATGAAGGAATGAAGGAATGATTAAAAACAGAACCTTTAGGAAATTAATTCTAAGAGGAGCACTTACATCCCATGTGATGACCAATTCAGATCTACTGCCACCTCCTCCACTTACTTCAGATGGTGGAGTTTCAGGAACTATGATGAGAAAACATAAATTATACTTAAGTACAGAAGATCAGAACTTAATTCAGTGGCTTCCAGAATTTCACCTAGCATGGAGATTATTTGGCACAGACAGTGCTCTTATTTTCAGGCATGATTCCACAAGGAGATAGGTCATTTGGAGAAGAATAATATCACAGGAAGGAAGGGCTTTTGAACACTTGGCTTGTAGCAAGAATCCTTGTGTGGCAAGAGCCAGTGTGACTTAGTGGCTAGATTTCTGGACTGTGATGTGCGAGACCCAGGTTATAGTCTGCATTTGATCATGAAGCTCACTGGGTGATTATGGGCCAGAAACTGGCTCTCAGCCTAATGTACCAGCACAGACTTGTTCAGAGGATAAAATGGGAAGGGGGATCATGTAGGCAATTTTGGGCTCCCTGGACAAAGCAAGATGGGATATAAATCCAATGCACAAGTACAATCCAAGTGCACAAGCCATTCAGCTGAGGGCCAACCAGATGTGGCGTTTGCCATGCAGAATCATGACATGTGGCTTGCCAGTGCTTTTCTGTGGCATGCTGCCAAACCAAATGCTGAGGTAAGGTAAGTATGCCTATGCTTGACCAAGAGAGATGGAGCCCTTAGACTTTTGCCACTTTTGTCACACTCACGCAGTGCACCCCCTTGTCAGTGTGGGTGCCAGTGCTGCAGAAGAAACAAGCCACTGCTAAGCCATTTCCTTCTGAGTGCCCCTGTTTGATAATCACACAGGTTCTCCTATATTCTCCAGGCTTTTCATAAATCGGTATCACTAAACAGATGTTGACCACTGCAAGGACTGTCCCATCCTCACTTTCATTCAGATTACTCTCTATTTTTTAAACATCAGAGGCAGAGCAACAATGCTGAAGAGAAAAATTTCTAATATAAGCTTCCTTTTCCCCTCTTTTCTCTCGGAGTGTTTCAGAGCTGCATATGAAACACCACTATTTAGTGACCCTGTCTAGTAATCTCTAACCTGTGGTGACTGAAATTGGTTTTCCCTCTCTCGGGATGAGAGGAGCCGCTGTATATGCACTCTGCTATGCCTCACCTAAGAGTGTTCAGTGGTGCCCAAAGCAAAACATTTCTTGTGCCAGCAGAAGAGGATGTTAAAGCGTTTCTGTCAAACAGCGCTCTGCCTCTTAAAAAATGAACAGGTGGCATTTTCTACCCTGGGCTGACTAAAATTAAGGATTGTAGCAAGTGTTTCAGTGTTACATTTGACTTATTTAATTCTTTGCTTATTATCACAAAAAGACTTCCAATATATGCACTGTAATTCTATATAGTTATCTGAGCACACACATAGTCAAACTAGCAATATTGCATTAGTGGTCTAAGAGTGACTGAGTCTCAGGCACCCATACCCTGAAATACATTCAACAACAACAACAGCAACATGTAGCTTAAAAACTACAAAAACCCAATCAGTTTCAGTACCTATAACAATGAATTTACATCAATTGAAACAAGCAAACAAAAACCCACTAACCTGCCTCTTTAGTTCTTACTTTTTCTGAGGGTAAACTAGGTTCTCCACCTCCGATTTTGTTAGTGGCAACTATGCGAAATTCATATTCAACCCAGGGATTTAAATCTACTGCAGTAGCTGTGAATGTTTTCCCATCAATGACATCAGGAACTGTAATAAAGTATTTTGAGGGGAATTATAATGTCTTGGTTACTTTGAGAGTGAAAATGTATTCAAGTGCAGCCATAAACGATTTTCCTTTACCTGTTGTGACTTTTTGCCAACCCACTGAAAACGGTGTCCTAGCTTGGATAGTATAACCAGTGATTGGGCTGTGATTATCTAAGCCCTCGGACCAAGAGAGCTGAGCAGCGGTGGCTGTTACTTCATCCACTTTTACATATTCTGGTGGTCCAGGTGAGCCTAATGCAGTAAGAGATCAGGTTTTAACATTGGAAGAATTTGTAAAGGTAGCACATATTCTACAAATTGCTAAACATAGGACCAACTGATTTCTATTTTGCCAGCACTGTGGGGAGAAGAAAACAATTTAGAATGCAGTAAAAATGCCATTTTTAACATTTACTAAACTCCTGCTTGGTTATTTTATAACTGTAAAAGCAAGTTCTGAAACAGCAATTTCGCAAGTACAGATGATGTATTTTTTCAGGGACTTTTATTCAGCTGGTTTCTCTACCTTTTCAAATCACTGTCTTTTACTTTAGTCCTTGATGTCCTGCCTTAATCGGCTAATACATCTTTTTGGTTTGACAATTTGTTATCTAAAGCAGTTTTTGCCACAAAGCTTGCTCTGTAGTCATTTTTCCCTGTGCAACACAGTATCAGCACCTTGGACAGCAATTCAGCACTACAAGCTTCTTGTCCCTTTCCAGAAAACTATGATTTTATTCAATTTGCAAAATAATGCAAGGTTTTTGTTTGTTTGTTTTGCTATAAACATGAGCTAATGAAATAACCCCTAAAGCACAAAAGCTAGCCATGGCTGCATTTGTCACTTTTGGTTTAGTACACACTCAAGAGACATAATTTTGTAGTGTGGTCCCATGTGCAGTGATGGGTTGATTTAAGGCAGCATAGAATGAAGCACAAGGCAATAGCAGCTTGCAACTTGACATCAAGAAAGCATTTTAGATCTTTATTTTATTCTAAGGATTTCAATACTTATTCCTAAATAAGAAAACTTGCATTAGGAAGTGAGTGTTAAGTGCATAGCATTTGATGAGAAAATGATCAACAACCTGCAGCATGAAGGTATGACCTCACTTCATTAAAAAATACTGTATTTGCACAGAAGTAAGGTGGTACAAAACTTATGTCAGTAGCAGTTGATCTGTATTGCACATTTCATAAAAACAGTTTGTCACTTGAAACTGCACTGAAAAATGAATATCCATGGATTTATGGCATATCAACTATCCAACATTGTTTTCCACTCTAGGAGCGTGATTCCATACACCGTTGTCCTACCATGCTCTCACTATAGATAATGATTACAGGACCAAAATAACTCTCCTGGAATTAAAATACTAGGTGCTATCAAAGGGTGTCTTTGCACTAGTGCAATGTACTTGCCCAGGACAGCCAATACCCACTATGTGCTGCAGCCTCCTGAGCCCCGGGAAAGTTGGTTCTGAGGTTGGCGCTCTGAATACTGTGATGATAAGCGCTGAGCTAGAGGTGAACAGCAAAAAATGGCTGCCCTTTCTGAGTGTCTGCAGGCCTTTTCTGCAAGTGTGAAGGCCCTACTGGATACATCCCACTGGCCAAAGTTGTAAAGTAGGCATTAAAAGTTGCTTGTGATCGATCTGTTCCTTCAGTTTTTGGCTCCAGCAACTGTCTCAGTCTTACATAGTCAAAAAGCCATGCTTTAAATCCTTTTTTTAATTTGGAAGGAGAGCCTCCTGGACAATGTTACGCCAAACTCTGTCTGCTACTTTCATTAATTTCTTCATTCCTTGAAAAGAGGCATGTGATGCAAAACCTGTGTGTGAAGAGCCCGCACAGCTGCAAGCAAGAATGGGGCATTTTTAATGTGAAAAAGAAAGGGAAATTAAAAACCACTGGCTACCTCATGCACTTAATAAGGTAAGCACACAATTCTGCCCTCTGCCAGTCAATTTTACTGACGTCCTTCCTGCCTAATCTCTTTGCAGCCTGTTCATTCTGATGCCCCCTCCCAGAGGACTTGTTGAAAAAAGAGGTGGAACAATATTTGGCACAGCTCTACTCCAGCATAATTGTCCAAGTTTGTAACTTTGGGCATGAAATGCTTTCTGTACTTTGATAATTCTCTCTGCTGTTACACTGAACACTAGATAGACACATAACAGCAACTTGTGCTTCTGCCAACAAGTTGCTGCATTTGCTCTGCCCCGCTCTGTCCAGCAAGCACAGTGCTCAGACACAGGATGCACATGATCTGTGGGAAGGTGCACAGAAGCCCTCGGAAGGCATCTTCCACCACTGCTGATCTAATCCTGTGGCTGAGGCCGCAGAAAAGGATGCTGTACCAAGAGATACTGACTAAACCCTGACTGAAACCAAAGAGCTCTGAGGGACTGTGCTTCTTGCTTGACTTGGTCACTAATGCTGATCCTGCTAGATCCTGGCATGCATTTTGGATCAAAATGGGCTATGCTGTATCAGACGAAAGACAAATCAAGAGGGTGACCGAAACAGTACTTGGAAGAACAATGCTCTCAAACTGCAAGTGTGCCAAGGGAAGTGAGCGTGCACTCTCATGACTTCCTCCACAGAATCATGTCTAAGCCCCTATAAGAAGCAATACTGAGAAAAGGAGTTACCTCGCACAATCAGATCTGCTGCGGAAGACACACTGTCCACCTCCGTTTTTACCATGCACACATATTTTCCACTATGCTTGAGCTGGATATTCCTAATCATTAAGTCTCCAGACGCAGTCTGTTGAGAGGAAAATGAAATTGTAGCAATTAAATCTGGCTAACTGGCTAAATGGTTGAATTCTTTAGTTCTAATAGTGTGTGTGCATGTGCGTGCACACGCACTGCCACTCACTCACTCACACACACATGAGGGAAAGGTAGCGGAGGGAACAGATGGTGACACTTAGAGGGGGCAGAAATGAGATTTCATGACAAGTAACAGTAAGGCTGTAATAAAGACAGGGAACGTTCTGCGACTTGGCAGCTTTTCTTGCTCCAACAGCACCTGCGCTCAGAGTGCAGTCCGACGCCCTCACAACCCATCAGCTCCCAAACTCGGATTCTTACATGCATCTTGATGGTGGTCTCTGCTGCCACCATACTTCACATCACGTATTTCAGAGGAGGGAAGGAGGCTGGAGCTTTGACAGGAGCCAGTGTGGGTCCATTTCCCCAGCCTCCTCCAATTCCTGCCTCCTGGCACGTCCCTTTCCCATGTCTCCAAGGTGCAGTTTTGCTTCTGGAGAGGCCACTGGTGTGGTACATCCCACACCAGGACAAGGGCTTGTCCTTTGCAGTCCTAGTCTCGTGCTTGGTGGACCTTAGACCTATGACCCTCCCAGACATGGCTGAGAGGCCACAGATTTGCGGCCTTGCTGAATCAAGTGAACATTATTTTAAAAAACCATGAAATTCTTCTGGCAAATTCAGTTCTGTACACTATATCCCTAGTAATTGGGAACATTCTTAGAATTTCCTAAAGTTTTTCTGACTTGTAAGAATTATCGTTCACTTCCCTTATGCTAATGATTGGTAGCACTTGAAAATTGAAATTAAATAATTTCAGGGACCTTTGTTCTCAGATAATATTTATTTATCCCTTTATATGAGCTGCCTTAAACAAAATGTTATTTTTTATAGCCCATGCCGTCCCTCAGTTTAGAAATGACTGTGGTAATTGAAATGGCTCTTATCCATCTATTTGTGTAATGTAAACTGAAAAATTAAAGTATTTCTCACATTGTATAAAATTAATAAAGAAGGGTGTGATATTTGGGACTAAAAATTGCAGATTAAAATTCTGCAAGGAAGAAAGAAAACAGCACTTTAATTCACACTATACAGTGAGAACTAACACAGTAAAGAATCCCATAAGAGCCACATGCCTCCACATGAATCTTTAGATAGCACCCTCCCTTTAGTGCAGCAATTTATTCACTAAAACTAATCCAGTGCTAAGCACTTGAAATATAAATGTACCCATGGGACTGACAAACAGAATAATTTTGCCCTAAATAAAAGCTTGAGTGCTCCTTCGATGACACATTTGGATAGACAAAAATCATGCTTAAACTAATCAGAGCAAACAACATCATGTTGCAGTCTCTCTCTCTCTCTCTCTCTCTCTCTCTCTCTCTCTCTCTCTCTCTCTCTCTCTCTCTCTGTGTGTGTGTGTGTGT